TTCCATTCCTTTAAAAGCTACACCTCTGTCAACACTGGAGCACATTTTCATAAACCTTAGCTGATAGGGAACCTCATGTCTACCAAAAGCCCAATGGCTATCTATGGAGCACACATTACTGTGTTCATTCCCATTTCACGCTGCAGCAACCACTTTGCTTCACTAGTTCCAGCTGTGTCCCCCTTCCACCTCACAAAGATCAAAACTGAAAAAGAGCAGAGAATACTGTGCAGGCCACCATGGACACTTTTTTCCATACACCTTTGCAGTATGTCACTGGGCCAGATAGTAAGAATTGCTGACATCACCTGCCAGTATTTTCCTAAATTTTCACTGTAACCAAGATTTCATCACAAGGATGCAGATTTTTATTGTACTCCCCAAGCTTCTTCAGGCTTGGCATTCACTTCACGTAAACCTTTGATGGCTTGTGCACATTTATTAACTTTTTGCCAAGAAGAGTTTGTGCAGTGTGAAGTCACCAGGCTGGCAGTATCTCCCAGGTCATTCCACAAAGCTGAAGGAGGACTGTTTACTTTCACAACATTCCATCTTAAAATACCAAGCCTGGTATTTTTAAAAAATACATTTAAAATTATTACTGACTCACTGCCATGCCACAGAAGATACTAATTAAAACCATTAACTACAACCATTCTGTGAAAACAATTTCACACTGTCTTTAAAATGGTAGTTTCCTTGTGGAAAAGCCTGGAGACTTAACAAATCATTGTCACCACAAGAAATGCTTGATAAGTTAGTCAGATAATGGTGTAACAGGAAAACAGACTTCAGTTTGAAAAAACAAACACCAACAAAACTTGTAAGTACAAATGCTATAATCTTTTCCCCCATGAAAAAGAAAGTGCATTAACGCTGATGCCTACAGTGTAACTCAGAGAAAGTCACTGGACATCCACTGAAATTTGCTTTTATACAGTGAAAGGTGTGGGGAAATATTACAGTGACAGAGAAAATATTTTAATATAGTAAGAACTGAAAGTGAAGAATTCAAATAGTCCATGACATACAGTGATCCCTAGAAAATAATTAAAGACTCAAAGGTACTGGACACTCATTTGCGAATCAAAACAATGAGACATACATAAGTAACAAGCTCTCCAGCTACGGATTTGCTCATTCACAGAGCAATTTTTCCAAGTGAAATGAGGCACAGCTTATCTCAGCTAGGAGGAAAAACTGATTTCACAGTAATGTATGGTACCTGCAACATCTTCTAGGTCCGTTACAACAATGTGTGCATTTAACTCCTGCAACTTATGATGCAAGTCTTCTAACTTCTTATTTGACTTTTTCAAAATGTTGTCCACATATGCCAAGTTCTTTTTATCCGTTGTGACCTTCCTGAGGTTCTCTGCTCCTTCCTTTATTTTAAGTTCCTTCCTTATTTCCCGCTTGATTTGGTCCTTTATTTCATCCAGCTTCTGCTGTACCATTGTATCCGAGAAGTCCAACTTCTGGCCAGTGCTCACATTCTCAGAGGTTACAAAACCTTTGGCATCCCCCTGGGAAGAAAAACAGTAATATAAGCAGCAGGAAACAGTGTTTCTGACCAGGCATGACACACACTTGAAGCAGACAGGATTCAGGTCTCTGTATGTTAAACACTCATTTTGTAAGACCATTTACTAACCACAGGTCTACACTCATGTTGATCTAAAGCAACAATCTCACAAGACCTCACACGTTAACTGGAGTTACATTTTACAACAGATTCATTTTAAATTTAGTGACATCTTTACTATGCCTATTTTTAACATCAAGAGATTTAAATATTTTTGGATTTGTCATGGCTGCTTGCCTGGCAGTTATATGCCTCAGAGCTAATGACTCACATTTGTAATTTTCTAGATTTAATTGTGTGTTTTAATAGACCAGATGGATATAGGAAATAAGACTAACTTCCAACAATTATTATCTATGATGAATTTTTATACATTCAGTAGAAGAGATTCCTTTTAAAGACTGAAAAATAAAAGATAAAAAAAGTAGTGCTGTTTGCAGCTTTTTAAAGAAATACTGACATCTTTATAAAGATCTGGTAAGATGTTAGAGGAAAACACATTTGCTAGGTTTTTTGGTGGTTTTTTTCCCCCCAGTCCCTTATGTAAAGCCTTTCACTTTAAAAAGTAATAATAATTTTAAAAAAATCTTGCTTTCTTGTGCAGGCGAGCTAGGCTGAAATAAAAAGAAAAAACCAACTTGCAATGATGAGCAGGAGTTGGTGCTCTAAGGGAGCAGGGGATGAAAAGTCTCAGACCCCCAGTATGCCCCAGGGCATGTACAGAACCTACACCAACAAAATTCAACTACAAAAAATTACATATGTGACAAAATTTTCAGTGTCTTATTCATGGACCCTGTACCATGAGTAGACAGGAGGTCCTACCCAAAAAGGTCTCAGTGACTGAAGATCAAAGAAAGTTCTCCTGAACTTAGAATTTGATCCAGTTGTAATCCAGCATTTATTTAATAAATGTGTGGCCTGATTTGCACCTAACTACCCAAAAGATCAAAATTCCAGTAAATTTTTGAAAAACAATGATGAAATTGCCTAGACTGCTCGGTGGACAGTAAGGTATTAGAAGGGTTGATTAAAATTTTGAAAGTTTTGGGTGTAAAATTTGTTGTCATCCCTATTTGCTGTTGGAAAAAAACAACAATACAGCAGAATAACAGTAGCGGAAAACATTTGAGAAGGAGTGCAAGGAACATAGCATCAGACTAATAAACTGAAGAACATAACCACTAAAGATAGCCCACAGTAACTTTTTCCCCAAAAGAATTTGGATCATGAAGGTTGTGCCTGGGCCATACGTGTTAACAGATAATGCAGTCAAACTATTTCAATTTGTGCCTATTCCAGCAACACTGCCCCCCTTCATAAGCAAGATCCAAGCTACTAGTTCCCAAGTAAAATTTTATGAGTTTCCTAAACCTGTCATTCAAACATTTCTACCCATAGCTGCTACTCCTAGTAGAAAAAGTTAACAACTCAAAGATTCTTAAATATTAAAAGCAGTTGGCAGCACCATCTTGCCACAGAATTTGACTATCAGTAAAAAAGACAACAAGCAATTTAGAAATGACAAACCGAGCAAGAAGCAAAAAGGAAAAAAGCCCATGCAAATTTACTTTAACTGCACTTGTGAGTACATTTCTGTCAGTGTAGACTAAAAGAAATTATTTATTATGCCTATGTAGAGAGACTATTAATAGTTGCACTGGGAAATACATGACATTGTTTCCATATATAGGCATATAAAAAGAATCAATTTTTTTTTCAAAAATAGAATAATCAATAGCAATGAGCAACTAGCACAGAGGTTCATATGCATAACAAAGGAAACAACATCCACCATGTGTTGAGTGTTTTGTTTTGAGAAACAACTGAAAGCAAAAATAAATTAATGCAGCAACTGTATGGCAAACTATTTGCTTAAGTAATAAGTACATCCAAATTAGATTAAGATCTTTGATTTCCACATTTGTCTAACACATACAACTTTAGGATGTAGAACAAGAGCATCAAGATTAGTATACTCTTATTTAGCCTTTAAAAAGAGAGATCAAAACAATGTTTGTAAAAAAAAGTGTGTATTTTTAGACCATAATCCTTTGCATTTGTTCTGCAAGCTTCCTAGAAATAAACACATCACCTACGTCATCAAAGCAAGGTATTACACTTTTTAAAGTTCAGAGGAGAAAGATAAATGATAAATGTAAAAAAAAAAAAAAAAACCCAAACCAAATCCCAACAAAACCACCAAACCCACCCCAAGCCCAAGAGAAAATCTCTATTCTGTGTTCCAATAGCACCTGAAGTATGCTAAAACTATGCCAAGAATGTACACTTCTCAAACAGAACAATGTAATTAAAATATAAATAATTCAGAAATATTCTGCACTAGGGTTTACCAAAGAGACTTCAGTTAATTGTTTACCCATTGAACAATAATGTATTTTGTTACAGGGGAAGCTTTTATCCCTCTACAACCCCTACATCCCATCTGTTAAAGGGATGTTATGTCCCTCCACAAACAGGTCCCTGGAGCCCTTGTTCCAGATAGGGAGTCTCTAGCAAGTCTTCAATGAAATTAAATCTCCATAATCATTAGTAATTTGCCTTCCAAATTTCCAGTAATGGAGTGAAAGTTCTCCTCAGCTTGAGCAGTCTCAGCAGCATTTGTGTCCTTGGACTTAAGGGTTTCAGGATACAGAGCTGTCTTCAATCTGCTTGAGTCAGCTGAGGGTTCAATAGTATGGATGCTAACACTGGAAGCTGGTCACACTGCTTGTGCATGTAAACATGCATCTTTAAATCTCCCCAAAAGCCATAGATGCTAGTCCTTCTGTCTCTCCTGTCACACAGAGTTAATTATACTTTTGAGCAAAAAGTTTCCTCTCACCTACTTACCCTGACATGTCACCTAGCACAAAGGTCACTGTGAAATAAATCCTTCCAAGGAGGCAACTGTGCCTCAGCGACCCTTGAAGGTCACTGTGAATGCAAAGCAAGAGTGTGTTTTGCAGGCGAAGCTGCTCTGGTCCTGCACTGGCACATTTTGCTGCTCAGATGCAGCAAAGGTTTGAGACAGACCCTCACGCTGCAGAGCTGAACAGCCTCAAAAGCATTCCAGTTTACAGTGGAGAAAATGCCCACACTGACATAACTGGACAGAATCTCTAAGAGTCAAGTAAGAGAAGTGAGGATTTTTTTTCTTTAAGAAAAGCACCTCCCAAAATGCCAAACTCAAAACTCCACCTTTCAACTGAGAAGTGACTTAAAATATAGGATATTCCAGCTTTATTTGATGACATCCTATTATGAGTCTCTTGTTAGAGCTGAATTTTCTTTGAAAAATTATTTTCCCCATTTGGATAAACTCCCTCCCAGGTTAAGCCTCACATCCTTTAGGCTGGAGGTGTTCTGTCCTCTCAGCCTGAAAATTAAGACTGTTAAACAACAGTTGGAGGTGGGGCCCAAGTCCTTTCCTTTGCACTGCTCAAGCAGGTGAGGTGCAATGACAGAAGAAATCATTCACATTCTCTATGCCAAGAAACCATCAATGAATTCTGCACAACTCCTTCCTTGACTCTCCTTCTCAGAACCACTTACCATAAAATACCTTAAGAGTGGAAATGCTCTGAAGCTGATAATGACTAAACCACTCCTGCTGGAAAAACAGAACAGGCCTCACTGCTTTAAAATCCGAGACAAAAGAATGGACAGCCAGTCACAGATTCTTGGTTTCTTTTTGAATTCTGATAGTGTTTCGACTGCTGGTTAAAAGAGAGGTGCCAACCTTGGCTGGGTGGTCCCAGGACCAGACCTCTCAGCACAGCATCCTTCTCCCCTCTCGCTGCAGCAGTCTGCTGGTGACCTAGTTCTTGGCCCCAGCAGCAGCAAAGGGCAGCAGGCACTCACCCACCACTGCTCACAGCAACCTGCTTGGGCAGCATGGAAAGCAATTAGAGACAGCAGAGCATACCTCTCTGCAATGGGAAAATACATGTTTATGAGCCAAACCGGAGATTTCTGAAACATTTCAGCATGTAATGAAACTGAAGCTATGTTTATAATAATAAACTCTCAAGGGCCACAAATTAGATACTACTGCTCAATAAAATAAAGAAATAAAGAAAAAAGGAAGAAAGAAAAAGGAGCCCACATATACAGCTTTCCCACTGCAATAGCCTAATGACTCAACCTCACTTTGATTGCTGGCTCAAAGACTATCTATTTACATAGATTACTTTAAGATGCCAGCCTTCAATTTCTGTACTCCTGGGAAATGTTTTAAGTACAGTTGCTGAAAATAATGAGTAGTGGTCTAAGTATGTCTTTTAATAAGACAGAGTCTATTCTGGCTGATGTGTTGAAAGAAAGTAGTAATACTGTTTCTGAAAACCTGTGGGGGGCCTGCACTTTTTCCTCAATTTTTGGTCAATTCTGAACCAAATAATTGGTGAAGCAGGTGCCTGACTGCATTTGCCACCCAAAAGCCCATTTAAGAATAAACTGAATGATGGCAATGGTACTGCTGAACAGAAGAGAGTACCATGCAGCTGAACCCATCAGAAACTCTGCTTAAGCTGTGTAAACTGAATGACTTCAAATTCAAAGTAAGATTCTCAAACTTCTACCTCTTAGAAGAAACAGATAAGACTAAAATCCTGGGTATTAATAACTCCCAAAGACTTGGTCCTAAGAGCACAGTACAACTGCACTGTGTTGTATCATATATGCAACATAGAGAATATTGACTAGGGCACCAATTGAGACTGCTGACCTCTGGTAGTAGTTGCTATAGAAAGGTAAGTGGAGCCTTAAAGTACAGCATCCTTAACAGCTGCTGAGTGTTCATGCACAGTATTATTTACACTTCGTGCTGATGTGCTACTAGCACACACTACACCTGCCTTTAGAAAAAAAACCCAAAGAAAACCAGACGATACCAAAACTCATAGCATAACTGTTTACATTTCCCCCTACAACTAT